CCGTTTCATTTACTCTGCCCGTCTGTTTTTTTTAACAGAAAACGTTTTCTCTGCCCGTTTTAATTTGTGTAAATAGCCATTTACGTCATGGCCGTTTTAAGTAACTGACCTCTGAAGAGTTACAACTCTTCATTTGAACTCAACATGTTGTGGCTATAAATTGCAGTCTATTCTGTCACGTTCTTAGTCTTAAACTAAGTACACCTGCGGCACTTGGCAACTCACTCACGATCTTGCATAACTTGCTCACGTTCTTGCTATGCCGAGTCAGCCCTACTACACTCATGATCGATAAGAAATGTTAGAACACATGAGAATTGCCAAAGGAAGTTTTTGTATTAGAGAGAACTTGATTGTTTTGCTTGGTTAATGAGTTACAAATGAATGCCTCTATTTATACTAATCACATAGGGGTTAGTATGTAAATAACAATTGTTCTACAAATCCTTCCGTATTTACAAATAAGTCATTCTCTAGAATATTCTACATAGCTAGAATCTTCTATGGACTTTCCTAACAATTCTATAGGGTCTTCCTAAGGAAACCTCTATATTTCTCTAGAACTTTTCTACAAGTGCATAAATATCTAGAACCTTTCTAAGGAAATTCTCCATAGTTCTAGAATACTCCACCAAGATCTTTTCCCTAATTTATGTAACCTTTCCATATGGAAAAAATATATGTCAACTGGCACCTACGTGGCATGATGGTGTGGCGGGTCATGACACTCTCCCCCACCCAATTTTGTGTCGCCCTCGGCACAAAACATCGACACATATGCGCGCACCTCGCCTTGGCGTTGCTAGAGATCTTTGTCCATGAGCCATGATGCCCTATGAAGCGGTTCTCTTTCCCATTTCACAATGCACTAGCTAGTAGCTACCTTTCTTCTTACGCGTTTGTACTTTGGATGGCTAGCAATGATGGCCTTCATCCTCCGCCCATCGGATAACCCTCCTTGCTCTTGGTCTGAATCTTCCCATGACTCAACCAAGTCTAGCAGCTTCTCAAGCATCGAGTCCATGCTTCCACTCCTTATTTGGCTGCCCTCTGTGGTCTAGCCTTACTGGCAAACTTGAACCTTCTGCTTGGTGCATCGTCTGAGTCCGATAGCATGCCATCACTTTGTAACTCGCCATCCTCTTCAACTATGTTCGTCCAACTTTTCTTGCTGCCACCATGCTCCATTTGCATGGTGCCAAGATAGGCTTTGGAATCCCCAACTTTTGGCTTAGATTCCAAGCGCATCCCTCCAATACAGGCGGTTCCCCCCGTGTTATCCTTATGTGCTTGAGCAAAGTTCCCTATCATTGCTGCAAGCTTCCCCAACTCTGAGCATTCACTTGCCCGACGTGATCCTTCATAGAAGTAGCACCCTTCCTTAGGCACGTACTCCCTACCATTTTTCGGCCCCTTGCCATTTCTCTTGGACCCCTGTCCGTTATGGGATGACCCCTTGCCATTACCCTTGTATACCTCGGCTATTCATTTCCCGTTGTCCTCATCATGATCTCCCTCATCCCTCTTGGCGTTGCCTTCTTTGGACTTGGCAGGCTCCATCTTGAAGTCAACAAGTGACTAGGCTACTCCGATGGCCCCGTTCACGTTGGCTACTTGATGTCTTCTTAACTTCCGCTTTGCCCAATTTTGCAACCCATCCATGAAGTAGAAGAGGAAATTTTCCTTAGACAATAACGAGATTTGAAGCATTAAGGTAGTGAACTCGCGCACATACTCCCGAATTGTGGCCTCTGTCGGAGCTCCCTTAGCTTCCCCCAGTCTGCCACCTCGCGTGCACCACGTGCACCACCATACTGCTTTCGCTTAGGGACCTTCGCGTTGATCCCTTCTGCAAGTACCAAGCCCTTGGTAATTCCGGCCATGGTTCCTACAAAATTTCCTTCTAGCAATCTCTTGTATTCTTTCTAACATTCCTTAGTCATAACATGTGCTCTGATACCACGTTGTCACGTCCTTAGTCTTAAACTAAGTACACGTGCGGCACTTGGCAACTCACTCACGATCTTGCATAACTTGCTCACATTCTTGCTATGCCAAGTTAGTCCTACTACACTCATGATCGCTAAGAAATGTTAGAACACATGAGAATTGTCAACGGAAGTTTTTGTGTTAGAGAGAACTTGATTGTTTTGCTTGGTTAATGAATTACAAATGAATGCCCCCTATTTATATGAATCACCTAGGGGCTAGTATGTAAATAATAATTGTTTTACAAGTCCTTCCGTATTTACAAATAAGTCCTTCTCTAGAATATTCTACATAGCTAAAATCTTCTAAGGACTTTCCTAACAATTCTATAGGGTTCTAGGGTCTTCCTAAGAAAACCTTTATATTTCTCTAGAATCTTCCTACAAGTGCATAAATATCTAAAACTTTTCTAAGGAAATTCTCCATAGTTCTAGAATATTCCACCAAGATCTTTTCCCTAACTTATGTAACCCTTCCATATGGCAAAAATATATGCCAAGTGGCACCTACATGGCATGATGGTGTGGCGGGTCATGACAATTCTCTCAGATTTTCCATACGAATTTCTGACTTCTCCTCCTTTCTTCTGCATTGTTTTAGCTACTAAGAAAGCAATAGTAAGTGTGGTTTGCTACTGATCTTTGTGTTCGCTGAAATACTGGGGTATTTAACTACTAAGAAGGCAATAATTATTCTTTTTGTAAAACTTAAAAAAAATTGCAAAGTATTTTCGTTTTTTAAAGCTAATGCACCAATAGCCCACTAATTTAGTAAAATATTCTTTTTTTTTCTTCAGTTTTTACAAAAAAACAATTCAGTTTTTACAAAAAAAAAAAATCATTTTTTCCAGTTTTTTTAAAGCATTGTTTTGTAAAAAGTGAAAAAAATTTGTGAAAATAGAAAAAAATGTTTTTAATAAAAAAACAAAAAGAATAATAATTATTTTTAATTCATCATTGACCTAACGGTCAAAGGGCATAAGTGAACTAAAAAAGTGGATGAATGGGTATTTTTAGCCTAATAGGTGGATGAAGGATATTTTCCTTTTTCAATAGTTTATGGGGCATTTTCAAGCCTTTTCCGTTTAAATAAATACTGCTCTATTGGTCAAACTAGTTCTACAAAGCCCGTGCTGAGCCCGAGCCCAAAATCAAGGCAATAAAGTTAATAATAATAATAATAATTTGTGTTACGTTTTTAGGCATAACTTTTTTAAGATTATCGCTTAACCATTTATTATTCATATGTTTTCTGATCATATCATTAGATAATTTATTAAAAGAAATATTTATAAGAAAGCAAGTGTACTAAGAAATAAGCAGATATCAAAGGGACAAAAGGTAACTTGATATTTAATAACATAATTTAAAGTATGCAAAATGATTCCAAATGGACTATAATCATAAATCAAAGTGGATATTTTAATATTTGATGAATTTGTGGGCATATAATTTCTAATTAGAGGTAGAAATAAAGAAGATATTTTAATAGATTATTTTGGTATTTATTGATTAACTACTCATAATTTCATATGACCATAGTTTATGCTAGAAAAAATATGGTGATTAAAGTCTAGGTTTAGATGAAATTAAGAAAGACCCAAATTCATTAAAACAATGTCCAAGAATTAACTTAGTTTGTCGTTAACTCATTAATGCTTTATTTTAAAAAGAAAATTCTGCTACCCAACCAATTAAAGATTATATGATTTTTGATAAATTAAATTGTTTTAAGAAACAAAAAATATCTTTATTTCAATAGCATGTGACCATCAGCCATATTTAATAAATATGAGATTACAAGTTGATCACTTGCTAAGCATCTCTCCCTTTTCCTCTATTTTATCTCCACTTAATTAAGTAAATTGGATAAAATTTAAATATTTTTGTTTTATTTTCAAGATTCTAATCTATTAATTTTTAAAAAGTTTTAAAATTTATTTTCTATTATACTAAATTTATATTTCAAAATAAGATCAAAGAGATATTAATTATAATTATAGAGTTACTAAGAAAATTTGATCAACCGAATACTCTCCCAATATCAAATGAGTTCTTCAAGGTTATTATTATCAGCATTTTAGATTTATTTTTATGCATAATTATTCATCATCATTCACAACTTTTCAAGCATTTTTGAAGGACTCAAAGTTTAATATATTTACAAATTAAATATAGGAACCTAAGCAAAAAAAAAGAAAAAAAAGTTAGGGCAAAAGACTTATTGTATATACTTCACCCGCAAAAAGTTAGGTTAAGGAGCTATGGATTACCAAAAAGGGTTTGAAAGTATCTTGATTTATTGAACATATTTTAGTATATGAAGTAATAAATAGCAAATACAAGGACATATTTGAAAGGGCAAACCCTTTTGGTTGGCAAACTAACAAAATAGTTACATCGTAGCTAAGGACTACAAAACTTTTTACATTGTGCCTTGTATATAGTAGTAATACGAGGAATACATTGGTAGTGGACCACTCTTTAGTACATTCAAGTAATTTGAGAAGACCTAGTTCATTCTGTACAAATCATATTGGATAATCAGCCTTTAATAGCCTACTAGGAAGGATCACTGTGAAATAAATTGATCCAAAGAAACCTAATTAATAAATAACTTAAGAAAATCATTTCACTCTTTTTGGCTGTACTTTGTCCACCGAAAAATCAAAACGTCTGGCTTTCAAAACACAAAAGATTGTTTCCTTGTTAATACTGGTTTTTAAAATTTAAAAACAAGCATTACCTCAGCTAATAATTTAATTCATAGAATATCTGAGGCATATCATTACAGTAGAAAGGAAAAAGTTCTGGTTTCTTCTTTTCTTAACCAAAAGAAACTTAAGTATTTCTGTAGTGTTTCGGAAATGAACAAGAAAGATCTGGTGAGAGGTTTTTTCAGCTTAAGTATATTTTTTTTTGTTACATTTTTCAGCTTAAGCATATATGATAAGCGCGCGTTACATGAGAGTTTAAAGCTCCCATACCATCTTTTTAACACACTCACTACCATTCATATGAAACCATAGAACATTGCTATAAACAATTTACAATCACATCAAGGCATTCATTTGATGGAAGAATGCACATACAATACCTGTTAAAATGACAAGTGTTTCAATACCAACCAAACCTATGGCATAAAAATTAATGACAACATCAACACCTACAACATACAATATGTTGTAGTAACCTACTTGAATTCCATATAAATGCAGTCCACTTACATAGAACTAGGACTCCTTTTCCTTTAACGTATCTGCAGCAGCAGCAGCAGGCTCAGACTCCTGAGAGCCAGGGCTTTCCTTTGATGCATCAGTAGTAGCAGGCTCAGACTCTTGAGAGCCAGGGCATACAACAAGTCTCTCAACAGGGATCTTCGTGACATCACGACGTACTCCAATATCAGAAACAAACCGGCTGACACAGTAAACCCCATAACCCACAGCGGCTAGACCAGAAACGCTTGTAGTCAGAAAGCGCAGTGGTGATGAAACAATAGCAGTTGTGGCAGCTAAAAAGGATGTTGCCTGCCCACTCCGACCTACACTGATATTTGTAAAGACTAGCAAACCGGTCTTGCAGTAGATAGCGAAATCCTCACAGTTGTTCTTGAAAATGTTGTATACCCCAAAACCATTTTGAAGGAGAAATTCCGCACGGTGCAGGACGTGCTCCGGTGGATCAGAAGGGGCAAGAGTGCATGTTCCTCCTCGAGTTTTAGCAATAAATAGGCCTGGGGAGACACCATACTGAAAAAGATAGAGTTCACCCCCATAAAGAAAACATTCAAGGCATGATGACATAACACCTTCGGCCTTTGATTGATCACCACACCTTGGACATGGGGAGTCAGAGGGGCGCGAAGGAGATGAGCTGAATATGAAGCGGTCTAAAACTGTTCCAGTTCCAACCTCTTGACCTGCACCTCGAGTGAAATGGATGACCATACCATCGCCAACATATATACCTGAAAGTGTTCAGAGCACAGCTGGCAACATTATGACAATATGCTAGGAAAAGGAAGAAAAGTGCATGTCATTCACACCATTAAACCATCTCAATTTCACTCACCCCCAGGAGCTAGAAGTTGCTTTGGATCTCTTAGTTAGTGCCATAACAATTTTCTGAGGATCTAACTAATCATACTTGATGCAAAAATTTCCTTTTCTTTTAATTTTTTTGACAGATACTGATGCAATGATTTCCCATCAGCAAGTAATTAATCAACTCAAGATCATCTGAATTTTGACTGCATATCATCTGAGAACAGAGGCATAAACCTTATGGTGATGTTTAGAAATCCAAGTGAAAGTTGCGCCTAGGAGATTTTCCAAAACCAAAAAAGGCTTCGTAAAATATTTAAAACCAGATTGGAGTGTTTAGAGGCTTGTAACTAAGGTGACAACAAACCTTAAAGAATTTGAGATCCTCGGGACTAAAGCCATCCTTATGTTTCTCCGATTGATTAACAACAAAGAGAAATTTATTCCACACTAAAAGCAAGTTTTTCTCTTCAGGTACTTGAAAAGTGAAACAGTCCATAAACCATTTTTTTTCAAAGTAAACCAATAGACTGACACTAAGCAACATAACCTCATAAAGCAACTTTCCAACTCAAGCTTAATTGAGTCCACAATACAATGCTAGTGTGAGAGTGCATCCCCAATGTTGCAGGCCAACTCTAATATAAGAGAAATAAACACTCCAAAAGAGTTTAACGACATAAAATAGAATTTCTCAAAGTCCATAGTACAAATAATCAGATGGAGAATCTAGACGAATAACAAAAAGAAGAATAACCTCTTCCCTTCCTTTTTGTCCCTCATCCAGTTCATAACAATTTGTACATACCCATGATGAATGAATGTTCAAAATATAAAGCTGCATGAAGGCTTAAGAGCCAAACCCAAATGAGAAGGTTGGGAGCTAAAAATTCCACCTCTACATAAAATCTCAAGCCTTCTTTTTTACATAAATTGGTCATATTCAGCTCACTTATTTCCGCTACATAGAGTTTTGAGGTACATCGAAAGCCCATCACAGGCTCACAGCCATAACTAGCGTATATATAAGTAAATCCACTTTTGATATTCCTGCGAACTACCAATTCAAATTGTCCCGTTTATTAATCATTTTTCTTAAGCTCCTAAACGTACTTTCTGATAATGTTCAACGAAACGCACAAACTTTACTCAGTTCATCAACATTTAATCCAATGGGCAGACTCCAAGATTCTACTAACCCAATTTAACATTTTCTAAAATATTAAAAAAGTTCCTTCCTAGTTTTAATTTTCCTAATTTATCATAATTACTCAAGCAAATTAGAACATGTAAAATGAACAAAAAGCATAATCAAATCAAAATATCACATACTTGTATAAGGAACAAAATGTAGATACAAACAGAAATCAAAAGGATATTTCAGTAAGAGTAAAGCACAAAAGAAGGATATTTCAAGTAAATGTAGAAAGCGAAAAAATGAGGAAAGCGACCGTGATGAGCGTAGAGGTACGCGTTTCGCCATGAATAGATGTGATCTCCTGGCTTGAGTTCATCCTTTTGGATCCTGTTTGACAGAATTCCGACCATCTCCGGCACCGTCCACCACCGTGATCCCGGCTCCGGCATCACTGTCCTTTTTCGATAACTTAATTTTTGGGGATGTGATGTGACGGTTTGCTTAGTCTCTAAGAATTAAGATTTGGTTCTTTGTTTCCTTCGAGTACTCTGAGTATTTATGGTGGGCCTCTTTCTTATCCAAGCCGTTTACTCAGTCTCTTTTTCTTTAAAAAGGAAAGTTTATTCAACTGGTATTTTCCGCTATTTTATACCCAATCTGTTTTATGGCGACACGGAGCTTTAAAAAAAATTATGTATTAATATAAGTTTTATACACGATAATATAAACAATATTACACCATCAAATTACTTAAAAGGTAAATATATATAATTTTTTCTACAAATATCAGTTTGTAACGTTAAGAAAATAAAATAATACGTGAAAATGCAACTAATGGTGTTAAAAAAAAATCTTATATCATCAATATATGTTTAACTTAGGTTTTTATTTATGCATACCGGTAAAATCGGGCTCATGGTACACCCTGGTCTTCGATGGGATAAACCGAGCTCGAGACATGATGACGAGGGACCGGAATCGAGGCAAGGGTCTCATCGAATCAGAGTCCGGGGCATGACGCCCGCCTTCGAGAATATCGGAGTCATGATCTGGGATCGGTCCGAACCCCGCAAAACTTCGAAGAACATTATCAGGTAATCAAGCACGACCAACATAAGGTTGTGATGTCCGCGATTGACCGGATATCACGGCGTGGATCTTGGCACGTATCGATGAAGAACCGCCAATCAGTTAAACAGAAGATTTTTTACCTTTTATGGAATTGTACCTAGAGTAGGATTCCCTTACTATCTAAAGGGGGTCTAAGAATTCATTAGACACATTGTAACCCGCATTCCAAAGTAATATACTACTATTTTCACTGTTATTGAAAGCTCTTTTTCTTGTTCATCAATACTAATCATTGTGAGCCCGGATCAAGGGTGAATGTCACACTATGGTTAGAATCATCCTCCCGCGTGGTTTGAATTTACTATATCTTTATTTATTCATTCTGACTTAATTTATCGCTTTGTATCAAATTAATCCGCGCATCTTTAAAACCACTTATAAATTTAATTTTTATACGATTTTGAGGGTAAACAGTTTGGCACCTATCGTGGGGCTAAGGATAATAGTGGCTATTTGATACAAACTTCTATAACACACCATATTTTAAACTTGTTCTTTGAAGTGTTTTAAGTTCATGCCAAAGTTTAAAATGTCAAACTCTCAGTTAGCCCCTTTAAACGTGGATGCTGAGTCAGGTCACCATGGCGAGAACAACAATATAGCACCCGATAATGAGGTTCACCCTGTCGATCTCAGCGGAGTTCCAACTACGGACCCGATCGACGCTAGTTTGCATGTGGACATCAATGCGAATTTGCCTACCGATCCTAAGAACAGCGTCCGCAGAGGAGTCCGATCGATTTCCCAGAATGTGCACGACGGTGAAGGTGATGAGATCAACTTGCGGGTGATCTTTGAAATACTACAAGCTCAACATGTAGCGATAGCCCAACTGCAAAACCAAAGCCGCGCCCCGAGCAAAGTTGAGCCCGAGCCATCCCGGGAAGTCAGCCGCATAAATGAACCAATCACGGAGAGGTCGAACGAAGCTGAACTCGGAACTAACCCTGAGATCATAAAGATGCTCAAGGAGCTGACAAAACGGGTAGAATCAGGAGAAAAAGCCAATGACAAAAAGATAGAAATCTAAAATTCCAGGGTCGACCAAATCCTAGGAGCACCACCGATATTAAAGAGCATAGATTCCAAGAAGTTTGTTCAAAAATCTTTTCCTTCAAGTGCAGCTCTGAAGCCAATCCCTAAGATGTTCCGCATGCCCGAGATTCCTAAGTACAACAGAATAACTGACCCAAATGAGCATGTGACCTACTACACGTGCTCCATCAAAGAGAATGACTTGGAGGATGATGAGATCGAGTCTGTCCTGCTGAAAAGGTTTGGGGAAACTTTGTCGAAAGGAGATATGATATGTTATCACAACTTACCCCTTAATTCTATTGACTCGTTCGCTATGTTTGTAGAATCCTTCGTGAAAGCACATGCCGGGGTCATAAAGGCCGAAACTAGGAAGTCAAACCTTTTCAAAGTAAAACAGAGAGATAATGAGATGCTCAAAGGGTTTCAAATTGAACGGATGGACCTGCCTCCGGTCGCGGATGATTGGACCGCTCAGGCTTTCACCCAAGGACTCAATGTTCGAAGCTCGTTGGCTTCACAGCAGTTGAAGCAAAATCTGATAGAATATCCGGGTATGACTTGGGCCGACGTACATAACCGGTATCAATCAAATATAAGGGTGGAAGATGATCAACTTGGGGGCCTTTCAGGGTTCGTTTATCCCGTCAGGACTATTGACAGAGTCAAGAGAGACATTGATCGTGAACCAAGATCAAATAGGGATCAATATCCACCATACAATGGAGACCGAAAAGGTAATAGGTCTGGGTGAAACCCTATGAGAAGTAAGAGGAGGAGCGATCGAGGTCAAAATAACCGGGACTCATGAGCAAAAATAGTTTCGACAGGCCCATCAGGCCTAAGGAAGCACCGAGGTTAGCAGATTATAATTTCAACGTCGATGTTACTGCCATCGTATCTGCCGTCGGACGCATCAAAGATACCAAGTGGCCTTGACCTCTATAGTCTGATCCAGACCAAAGAGATCCTTACCTAATATGTAAATATCATGACACTCACAGTCACAGAATAGAAGATTGCGGACAATTGAGAGAGGAGGTGGACCAATTATTTAACAACGGACATCTCCTAGAGTTCTTAAGTGATCGAGCCAAAAATCATTTTAGGAATAGGGACTCTAGTAAGCAGATCGAGTAGGAGGAACCTCAGCACGTCATTAACATGATCATTTGTGGGGTCGACGTCCCCTAGAGGCTGATGTTGAAGCGCACCAAAGTATCCATCACAAGGAAAAAACGGACTAGGGATTACGTGCCGGAAGGAACATTATCTTTCACCGACGAGGATGTTGAAGGCATCGTGCATCCCCACAATGATGCACTTGTAATATCTGTACTCATAAATAAATCTCGAGTTAAGCGTGTGTTAATTGATCTAGGTAGCTTAGCCAATATCATCAGATCGAGGGTCGTGGAGCAGCTATGTCTACAAGACCAAATCGTGCCTGCAGTCCGAGTTATAAATGGATTCAACATGACATGTGAAACCATTAAAGGGGAGATAACATTATGGGCGAACATCGTCAGAGCCACTCAAGAAACAAAGTTCTACATGATTGAAGGCGATATAAGATACAATCCTCTGTTCGAGAGGCCGTGGATCCACAACATGAGGACAATGCCCTCGATGCTGCACCAGATGTTGAAATTCCTAACACCAAGAAGGATTAAAATAATTCACGAATAACAACCAGCCGCAAAGAAGAAGTTCGCGGTCGACGAGGTGGTCCCGATATCCGCACTTTCAACATCAAAGAATCTGGGTTCGGGTCACCAAGGAAGAAACCAAATAGCAATTACTGGCGCCAGCCATGCCCATCTGGATAAGCAAGATATGGGTGAGGATGACGACTATAAAGTTCCCAGGTCTTTCATAGCCCCCGGTGATTCCGACGCCACCAAATCAACGGTCGAAGAACTGGAGCAAGTCATATTGATCGAGCACTTACCCGATTGTAATGTATACTTGGGCACGGGGTTAATTCCGAAGNGCGTCCGCAGAGGAGTCCGATCGATTTCCCAGAATGTGCACGACGGTGAAGGTGATGAGATCAACTTGCGGGTGATCTTTGAAATACTACAAGCTCAACATGTAGCGATAGCCCAACTGCAAAACCAAAGCCGCGCCCCGAGCAAAGTTGAGCCCGAGCCATCCCGGGAAGTCAGCCGCATAAATGAACCAATCACGGAGAGGTCGAACGAAGCTGAACTCGGAACTAACCCTGAGATCATAAAGATGCTCAAGGAGCTGACAAAACGGGTAGAATCAGGAGAAAAAGCCAATGACAAAAAGATAGAAATCTAAAATTCCAGGGTCGACCAAATCCTAGGAGCACCACCGATATTAAAGAGCATAGATTCCAAGAAGTTTGTTCAAAAATCTTTTCCTTCAAGTGCAGCTCTGAAGCCAATCCCTAAGATGTTCCGCATGCCCGAGATTC